ATATCCCCAAAGTTTCAGCTTTCTAGCTTTTCTGGATCTCGAGTTGAAAGTGGGTGACAAAAAGTGTGAACACACGGACACACACACACACTCGCACACACACACACACACAAACACACAGACAGCCTCTTCTCAATATGCGTTTTTGCAATTTACATATATGCAAAAACGCATAAAAGCTGTTAGCAAGCATTAAAATTATCGAAAGAAAAAAATAAACAAAAATTCCTAGCTGTGCCAGGTTAAGTGCTAGTGCAGATGGATTGCTGTAAGGAATGCCTAATTCTGGATCTAAAAACCCATACAGTCGCAGGCAATGAATAATTCGTGAATCATTTGCAGGAGAAATCCAGGAGCGTTGCTAAGACGGCAGACGTATTTCAAAGTGCACCATTCTACTATTTTCTTGAATATTTTCACATTTTCTTCTTCCATTTATTTTCGGGAGTGCCTTTTGCACATTTCATGCAATCACTATACACTGTTTTTACTGTATACGTTGTCAGTCAGTCATTCGTCTCTCTATTGTTTTATGGAATTTGGAAAATCCCGATTGATCAGCTACTGATCGGAAATGATCTTCTCAGTCCCAAAAGCAAAGCTGCATACCATTAAAGCTGCCGGCGCTTTAAAGCCCCAGATATATACCTTGCACTTTTCTCGTTTGTGTTTTATCCAGCGAAAAGTGACAGTAAAATTTACATATCTGCGTAACTGGACTTCTCGGTACAAATACAGTAGACAGTTTCAGACAATGAGAAAAATTATTAGTTGTGGCTAGGATACAAGAACCAAAATATTCTGTTCATGTTATATGATGAAAACTCAGTTAATCCGAAGTTTTGAATCACTTGATGGGGATGCAAAATTGCCGCGATCCAAATCAGCAAATTTTAAGGCCCGAGAAATCCGCGATCCAGAGTATTTGATAAAGAGCATCCAGAATGCCTAGATTCAAATAATTTAACATTAGGAATAGTTCATTTAAAGTTTTATTCGTCGGCTGGACAGAGTTTAATTCCCGATCCACTGACTGAGATGCATTATCCACAAACCATGCAAACTGTTCAATAAGATAAATTATCGAAGGTTCAACAAGCCTGACCAAGGTTCAGGCCGTCTAAGACATCCTGGCAACTTTGATTTTCAGATCCGAATTATTTCATAAATTTTTCATAAATCCGAATTATTTCGTAAATCATTTCATAATTTCTCGACATCGTCAAATTTAGCTTCTTCGTTTACACTCACAATGTTCCTTTGCTTATATCAAGAAGTCAAAGTTTCTTCCTATTTTCTTTCTATGAGAAACGAAGATACACGGTAATTAGCCTGCTAGCAAATGCCAACAGCAACCACTCGCTCGCAAATTTTCGATGGCTTCCTTCCTTCGGAAGTTTTTTTCAAACATGCGGATGGCGGATTTGGCTTCCAAGCATATGCTAATACCAATTACCATCGAAACGAACTGATGTATCGTAAAGGTTGCTTGACCCACTGCCTGTGTCAAATTTTCGATGTTAAGTAAAATACTTGGAAAAGAATAACTCAGTGAGAAAAATGCTGTTGAAAAAAAGAGCCTTTAATGATCCATTCTATCCAGAAATTATCCATAAAATGAAGATGGAAGCCATCTGATCACCATGCAAATTTAGTAAAGCATTTTTTATGAGATCGGTTGAAAAAAAAATAATAGCAGTTTGGCAGTGACAAATACAGTTAACGAACGAACAATAACAGCTTAAAATGCTACAACTTGTCAAAATAATCCGAGGAACTGGTTCAGTGAAAGACGGCTGCATTCCAGCACAGATAGATTTGTTCAAGATTTTTAGCAAAATAATGGGGCACTGCGGTCATTGAACAAATTATGGCGACAACGCTCAAACATACGTTCTTGCGACAAGTACGCCTGAAAATGCTGTTATATCTGAAAACTGATACGCTTCCTCCTGGTGATATTTTAACTCAAGTGGTATCAACGAAGTAATGAAATTCGAATTTATGGCTTGTTTCGACCCGAAACTAATACATCAAAGTTTACTTGGAATTAAAGACATTTTTTAAAACGTAGCAGGGCAAAATAACCATTGAATTTATCTAAATAAACCCCGAAATTTCTAATTCGTAACTCATGCCATCCTCACTTAACAAAATTAAGTTGAGGACATAATGGGTCAGGCTGCGAGAAATTTTGAATGCCTATTTTAGGTTACTCAACGCTCATTAACTGCCGAATAGAAAACCCTTAACTTCAGGTACATGG